AACCAACTACTCAATATTTTCCCCCCAATACATTGTACCTCTTCTCTATTTATAAGTATTTTTTAACTAAATCTAACAGAATTTGTTACTATTAACTACTTCTCAATTATTTTGTGTCCTTCTAGAGCTTGATAAGAGTATCATTACCCGCCACCGCAAAGTCCACCTTGTCCTCAAGGTGTAAGTATAGTTCAACTTCAGAGCCAAATTTGGAGTAAGCTTGCTGCAGCTGTTAACCCATGTAGTCAATCGACCACCTAGAATTAGAATGTTATCCATACAAATCCCATAACCAGTTGAACCTACCAAAGGAATTTCCCTTGTCATTTTCGGTGGTCGAAGCACTGTAACAACGTTAGTTTTTGGGTGGATGATTTGTAATGAGTGGGTTGAGATATTTAGGTGAGTATATGGGTATAAGAATGGGTCATTAAAAGAGTTTGGACTAAGGGAATTATTTTTATTTCTATTTGGACTGTAATTCATTTGGGCCTGCTTCACTAATTCATTCTCGTCTTCCATGTGTTGGGCCAACTTCCTAATATGACCCAAACCCAAAGGCTTTATCACTCTGACTTTAGTCCTAATTACTGGTTTCAACCCCATAATAAAAATGTCTTCCATCAAAGCTTCAGAATTTGCCGATAATGGAGTTGCAAGAACCCCTAAAATCGGCATTTCCAGCCTACAACCTCGTGTCTCTGCCTTCCCTGGTTCTTCTCTGCGGTTACGGCTATCAGTAATTGCCCCAATTTCATCTGGTCCATTTTCTGCCCCTGCTTGTCCCATTTTTTCCATCATTAAGTCGAGCTTCTCCATCATCCTAGCCATCACCCTCTTCATTTCAGATTTCAGTGTGCCCAGACCCTCTTGCACTTCCATCTGAATTCCATCAATTCTCATCTCCAAGGCTGCCACTCGATCTGTAAGAGACATTTTCCCAGATCTCAACTGCTCTGATACCATTTTTTTAGGTTCCCAATGGCTGATCATTTTGATAGGTTCCTGATGGCTGCTGTTGGCTCTACAGGTGATCATTTTGCTGAAGGATTATAGAAGAGAAGACATGATGAAATATATTGTTTATTAAATTGTTAAAAGAAGTTACAACTGTAGATGAACCGATGAAATGAAAACAGAAATTGAAATAACGACTCCAAGGCTTTCGAGAGGCCTGGAGCTCTCCTAATTGGCCTCACCAACTACTCAATATTTTCCCCCCAATACATTCTACCTCTTCTCTATTTATAAGTATTTTTTAACCAAATCTAACAGAATTTGTTACTATTATCTACTTCTCAATTCTTCTGGGTCCTTCTAGAGCTTGATAGGAGTCTATCATGGAGAGGGTTTTGTATTTATGGACTCTGTTATAGATGAGCTCCAGTTGGAGCACAAGAAAAAGAAATGAAACAAGAGAGGTACCAAAAAACAAAATGGAACTAGCGATCCCCTTCAGGACCACTGGCAGACCACTTTTGGTCAAATCGTTGTTGCCTTTGTGTCAAATTGATCCTCTCTTGCCTTTTTCTCCTCAAAATCACATCTTAATAGGTAAGGTAAGGAAAGAAAATTAATTGGACTTGAAATACTTGTTCGATTGTGGGCTTGTCATCCACGAGTATCAAAGTGGAAATGGAAAGGAACTTCCTTCCAGACCTAAAAATTCAGAACAGCATATGGATTATCCATCCTGGGCTTAAAAAGGACTTGGGTTGCTAAATTGATATCATATTATTTGACTAAAGAATTCCCAAAAGCTGTTCTCGTGCGAGTTAAGTACTAAAAAAGATTAAAAATAGAAACAAAATATTGAAAAATAAAATCAGGTAAAGACAAACTAAGCCTTGTTTAAGATGGCTACACGAGTCCTTTTTCTTAGGATTCACATCATTAGATTTGTCAAAGTTTTACGTTGTTTGTACTGTAGTCCTCCTATGCTCTGGCTCGTGACCAGCTTTGCAAAACATAGGTGTTTGGACTTGTAATTAGAAATTAGGTAAATACAAAGGGAAATTAACTAAGACCTTGAAGACGGAGTTGGGACCTGCCGACCTGTAATTGTAAGGATGAGGGACCGTAATATGGTGACTACTGTATGGAATTAAGACAATATATTTATGCGCGTGAGACATTGTTGAGGAATTTATTTAAGTTTCACTGCATTCTTAAGGATGACATTTCAATGTTATGTAGTGGTCAACAGAACTTAAATGTGTTAATGATATCAGGTGAGCAGTGTGTAATAGTTATGCGTTTCAGGTTCATAGAAGTTTGCAGAAGACTTTACGTACTCTAGAAATATAATTACCGTACTTTACATCATTTTGTATAAACAATTATGAACCTGTCCCTTTCCTATGTTTTATTATTTGGGTTATTTTTTATTTTTCATTCTGGTGATGTGGTCTTCCCAGGTGAATTTAATTAATAGCTAAGTTCAGGTTTCAGATTAATGACTTTGACAATGAACAACAGATTGAACGTGTCATCTTGTTTGCAGGTGCAGAGGCCTGAAATAGAGCCTATTATATATCGAGATCTGTTTCTTTTCCGTACCCTGGCTTCGTTCTTGAATGGCTTTAGTCTTCAAAAACTGGGATGTAATGCGGAGCTTATAGTTGACGAATTTGGTGAGAAGCTTTTGGAGGAGCTTGATTATACCTTGGTATTGCCTTGCAACTCTTTTGTTTTCCAGTAAAATTATGTTCGTGTGCGCGTTCAAGTATCTTAACGAAACTGATGTGTGCTTTAAAATGTTTGCTCAGAGACATTTACATATCTTATCCAACTTTAGTAATTGACTTGAATTAAGGACTAGGGTGCGCCTTATAATTGCTTCTTCTTTTGCAATATTAACGAGAATTATAAAAGCCTCCTGTTCATATTTCATAATTTTGCTTCTTGCAAAAATGTGGAGTTACATTATTTGTACCCCGACCCCCCTTTTCCTTTTTGTTTTTCCAGGAGGCCCTTAACATTGAAGATTTTTATGCAAATTTCAAAGATGATCCTACGGTTAAAATTCCTTGGGTTTACAAGCAGCTTTCTGGTTCACGTGTGTTGGTAATGGAGTGGATTGATGGAATTCGATGCACCAATCCTCAGGTTTGAATGCCAATCTTCTATTAAAATGCAGATCTAAGACGTATATTTATTAATCATTCTTCAAGAATTCAGGCCATCAAGGATGGAGGAATTGATGTGGGTGGTTTTTTGACCATTGGAGTAAGTGCTGCTTTGCGGCAGTTGCTGGAGTTTGGTCTATTTCATGGTGACCCACACCCGGGAAATATTTTCGCTATGCGTGATGGACGTATTGCCTATGTGGATTTTGGAAATGTAGCTGTGCTCAGTCAGGTAATAATATTATGGTGATGTTGGAAGAATAATGTTAGTCTGATTGTTTTTCTTTACTGCTTCGTAATTTTCCCTAAATTGGATGTTGGTGTTTCCATTTCCTCCTCAGCACAGATATCCTGTTAAGACCTCTACTGTACCCTGAATATGTTTATCAAAACTTTGCTTTTGTCTCTTTCTTTCTTTATTTTTTCTGTGTTGCGTTGGGTGCATGGGTGGGGGTTACGGTTTGGGGTTGAGCATAGACCTAGACTGGTTGTCCCAAATTATTAAATCCCACAAAGAAAACCATTGTTTTCAATTAGGCATGATATATAGAAAACCATCGTTTTCGATTAGGCATGATATATCATGGGCTGAGATTGGTTTATGAAAGACAAGGATGGAAGCTTTGGTTTGTTAGAGCATCTCTAAAGGACTCTTTAGTTATAAAGAGTATCTTATGCATTATAGAGAGTATCTTTAAATTTAGAGATTCAATTTTTATTCACTCCAACAATGCTCTTTATTTTGCTTTTCTCAAAAAAAAAATTTATTGATTTCTCCCCATGTTTTAATTTAACATAATTTTTTATATGCCAATGGTGTGGTTTGACTAGTTTAAGAAGTAGAGTATTGAAATCCGTGACTTATTAAATGCAATCATTGTACATTAAGAATAGAGAGTGAGTTTGACTCTCTAAATTTGAAGAGAGAAACACACTCTCTATTTTAAAAAGTTAAAATGGAGAGCCTCTTAGAGCTTGTTTTTAAGCATTAGCTCTTTAAAATAAAAAATATTTTGTATTTAGAGAGTCTTGTTGCAAATATTACAAAACATACCCACTTTCTATTTTAAAAAATTAAAATAGAGAGTCTCTTCGAGTTTATTTTTAAGCATTAGCTCATTAAAGTAAAGAACATTTTGTATTTAGAGTCTCTTGGAGATGATGTTATGCTAAATGCCAGTTTTTTCTTTAAAAGTGGTGGTTCTAAACTTTAAGTTGTTGCAAATATTACAAATTTTATGATAAATTTTAAGTGAAATGAGGAATTATGTGCTTGACTCAACTACTAAAACAAAGTAAGCCTCGTTCCAATAAAATTATAAAAGCTAAGCCTTGTTCCCAAGTTAATTATATGCCTGATTCGTAAACCTAAAAGGTTAGATATAGTCCATCGTAGCCATTTAATTAGTTTTTAAGTTGTGATATTTGTGAAAAAAGTCTTTAGAGGAAATATTTAAGCTTCCAAAAACTAAACTCTATCTTGACCCACTGTATGCTTCTATTTTATACTTCTCCTTTGTGAAATTTGCCCTTGACAGGGGGTATCCACAGTAAGGGGAACCTGGGGTGGTGTATGCATGATACGTAGGAGTCTGAACCTCTGAGTGAGACTTGAATGAATCTCCCTGGCCTACATTAACCTATTCGAGTGCAGAATTCTTCTCCCCTTCCTCCCCTCCCCGTGTATTGCCTTGCTGGAATCTATAAAAATTATGTCGAATTGATGACTGAGAGAATCCCTCTTTTCATGATGAGTAGGATCACAACACGGCAGGCAGGGAACAAGCCCTCTCTTGGAGGGAAGTCAGATGCCAAGTTCTTTTTTTTTCTCTATTACAAAATAAAGTAGTATATACTAGTTGTATTTAAATATTTGGTCTGCTTCCATTTTTGGGAAGAGGTTGTCAATATTGAATTTCCATGTTTCTCAAAGAATTGGAACCTGGAAAAATGTTTTACCTGTCCTTGGTGTTTTTAAATTTGCAAGTGTTTTATCACACAACGCATAAGATTTAAAGAGTACAGGTCTTCCGTGGAGGTGTCAGTGACTTGCATTTCCTGTATCTCTCAGGCAGGTGATATATTGGCAACTATGCTGATATGTTCTAGCCTATCCACCACCACAAGTTTTATCTGAAGTATTTCTCCTAGTATAATGATGATGCAATTATTCTTACTCACCTTCGTTTTTTATGTCGCTTGAACGGATAAACATGTTCACTGCTTTCCTATTTGTCTGCTTTTTTTCCCCCATTCTGCCACCAGTTTTTTACATAATTTTGACATTACCTTGAAATTGGGACATGTTTTCCCAGCTTAATCTTGCCATTCTTTTTCAGCAAAATAAACAAATTTTGATAGATGCTGTTGTCCATGCTGTAAATGAGGACTATGCTGAGATGGCCAATGATTTTACCAGGCTGGGTTTTCTAGCTAGTGACACTGATGTGTCACCTATTGTTCCAGCATTGGAAGCAATTTGGCAAAATTCTGTTGGAAAAGGACTGGCAGACTTCAATTTCAGAAGTGTTACAGGTCCTCTTCATGCTTCAATTTATACTTGAAGACATTTCGTTTCGTTTTTCTCCTTTTTGATTTAGACGCTCATGTCTGCCTTTTTCTGTTTTTGTCTGGTATGTATGTATCCTTCATAATTTGCATCACAATACATACTGCCATTCCCATTCTAAATATGAAACACTAAGGGTCTGTTCTCTTTACCATTTTCAAGCCTTTTTCTGTTTTCGATTTTTCAAAACAGTGAAAACGCGTTCTCTTTTCTATTTTCCAAAACGCATTTTTGAAAACAAGTTAAAAATTTACAAAAAAACCTCAAAACAACAAATTTGTCATTGTGGGTGTTTTCAGTTATAATCAACCCAAAAATTTCAAAACACGTTTTGGGTGTTTTCAAAATGTCAAAAAGAACATATTTTCAACAATCTCAAAATGAAAACTCAAAACATAAAACCAAAAATGAATTTAAAACTCAAAACACAAAACTGAAACACAAAGAGAACAGTCCCTAAGTATTTCCAATGGAAAAATTACAAAATAAATGTTTTTTTATCCAATACCTTCCATAAACTTACAAATTATGCCCCTATTTAGTAAGGATTAAAATTAGATTTTTAGTAGATTTTGATAAAAGTTGATAAAATGTGTGGTTGAAAAATTGTGGATCCCCACAAAATGTGTGGTTAAAATTAATTGTTGACTTGACTTAGATTAAAATCTAATTTTTAATTTTTACCAAACAAGGCTTATATTATGACTTGGTGTTATCAGCAAATATTTGCATGCATAAGCACACAATTAGAACATTTCATGAGATTTATGCAGCGCACTTCTGATAGCTTTCCATCCGGGAAGAAAAAATCAAGATATAATATCTTTTAATTTTTTATTGAATTATAAGGCTTCTAATGTGGCACAAGCATATTACAACCTGGAATCTTTTTAGAACAATCTTGATCTATAATAACTCAAATCCCATGTGCGTGGCTCTTAGTTCTGTATTTAATCTAGCAATCACTGTGATAGCCCCGCTAATTACACTTCAATTACGAGTGACAATAGAAGAATTCAGAGGAAGGGGTTTGATGAAGAGAGCAAGGTAACAGCAGATTATAGGCATCAGCAGTGCATTGTATTCTGTTAAGGGATATAAATAGGGGGGGAGGGTAGCTGCAGGGCATGCAAAATTTCGGACAGTAGTGTCGGAGAGAGTCTAGCCTCTTGAATGCTCGACAACACTTTCTAATTTCTTTTCAATTTCCGTTGCAATTTAATTCTGTACACCATTTAATCTCAGAAAATACAAATAAAATCCATTTACCTCATTCTGCTGTTTACATTACAATTCAATCACAAATACAATCCAAGTCGCGATCTGCACTTCATCGAGATCTGAAGCCATGCAATTCAACTCCAATTAGCTCCTGTTACAATCACGAATTCAGAGGTTCTTTTCCACTGTTTCTCTTCACTTCTTGATGTCATGAAGTTACCTTTAAGAATGTAAAATGTCCCATGTTAGATCTTCGATCTGTCATTGACCTTTTAAAATCTATGAGTATCTAAGATCGGTTCTTCATTTATGGTAAAGAGAAATCCCCTTTTTTGTTAGATTTGAAATAGCGTGAACTGTAAATTCTGTATCCTTCATGTGGATAAATTTCACTCGAATTGACTTACGACACTCATGACACGCTAACAATATACATATATGGTCTTGTGGGGGACAAATATATCAACTTCCCTACTAGGCATAGATACCTTCCAAGGTGTTATGGGCGCTACACTCCTCTGAGGTTCAAAATTGCCTTTATGATCAGTGTTCGGCAGCATCGACTTCGTGGAAGCAAGGTGACTTGGTTTCACAATGGCAATGGCTGAGCCTTCTGTTGACAGAGATTCTAGCTTTGTTCTTCTTGAGCCCTGACAACGGAGAAAACTTCATTCAGAGATGAAAGGTCTATCTATCCAAGAATCCGAACCCTTTCAGGGTATTCCATGTTAAGACCCATGAAAAAACCCAATATTTGCTCTCTTTTGGACCTTATCTTGAGATTTTGATAATGATCGAGTCCTACTACAGCCTTTACATGACATTGTAACACTCAACAGAGAAATTCTTGGTAGCTGCAATCTTGGTCTTTATCTCGTAAGTTGTGCAGCATCCCTAACTTTGGAATATGCTAGTTTAATAGCTTCCCATATATCAGGGATTATTGTATTTCGAAAAAAAGGAAAGGAGACAAATGCATCATAAAGAACTCTTTCAAGAATTACATCATATCCCTGTGAATCCGCTAACAAACTCATACAAGCAACATTTAAGAGAAGTATAAAGAAGGGGGGAAACGGGTAAAGTTTTGAATATTAAGGATGTAATGTAGAAATTCAATCTTTAGGTGCAATGTCAAATCAAACGTGGTGTAAATTGAATTAACCCATTAGTTCCAATAGTGGTTATTGTTGTTTCTGATATCTAACTTTTACAAATAGTGCCACATATTATAGATAATCGTGAGGTACATATCAACTTAGTAACTGTTTATAGTTTAATTCTTTAGTTGGAATGGTTGTATTGTAATCTTAGATGCTTGATTAAGCCTCTTCTTTCTTCAGGGATTTTAAGTGGCTATTACAAAAGATAAAAGAACTTTTCTTTGTTTGTCATCAAAAGTTCATGACTTGTAAAATAAGCACTGACAACATTAACAGATTATAACTTTATATAATGGCGTCATTGTAATCACATTCATTAACAGTATATTTGTATGCTTTAATATTTACTACGTCAAAGCAGTCAATAAAAACTTCTATCTCATATGCTGCTATCTGACTCTTAACAAAAGAGAAGTTATTTTGGTGCAGGCAAATTTAACCAACTAGTTTATAATTATCCCATCCGGATTCCAGAGAGGTTTTCTCTTGTAATCCGTTCTTTATTGACTCAAGAAGGCATCTGTTTCACACTGAAGCCAGATTTTAAATTTCTTGAGGTGAAGTCTCTCTCTCTCTCTCTCTCTCTCTCTCTCCCTCCCTCCCTCCGTCCCTCCCTCCCCTTACATTCTTGTAAAGTGCATTGCTGCTTCTGGTCAAGCAGTGGCAGTGTCCGAGTCAGGTTCGGGAGTAGGACTTCCTCCGCAATCAAATGAAGGACTGAGCTAGTATATGAAACATTTGAACGTTTTGAGGTCTTTCATTGGAAAAGGGGCAAAGAATGAGGAAATGGGTTAAGCCGATTTTATGCGTTACCTCTTCTGTAACAGATTAAGCTGAAACTTCCTTGACAGAAGCTATGAGTCATCTTAATAATTGGTGAAATCCTTTTGACTTTCCTCTTTCTTAGTCATCACCCTAAATTATCTGCCATTACTTCCACCTCCACCACTCGAAAACATCCAGAGGCAATAACCAACCTTACTACTAAAACCTCTTGGCCTTCTGCTCTCTTTCTTCCACATCTTACATCTCCATCCTCCAGAAATCAATAGACTGTGGAAAACCCATCTCCTCCAAGTTTGTCAATCATACTATTTGACTCATAATACATGCCGTTCTCACTAATCGTAGACAAACCTCCTTGGATAATCTTGAGTGTCTTTTAGGCCACCTGAACGCTAATTTCCCATTCATTATGCTCTCACCAATCACAAATTGAAGCCACGTGGGAGAAACCTAAACTCATTCAAAAGCTTTTTATGCATTATAGCAAGAAACTGTGAATGAAAATTTGTGAAGCCTACCTCTTTTTAGACACCTTATATCAATTCTGCAGAAACCAATTTTTGATCAAAATTCTAAGTCGTTTTTTGTTTCTTTATCAGTTTTGCCATGGTGCAATACTAATCTCACTGATGATTTTCCTTTTGTAGCAAAAAACTGGTAAGGCATTATTGTGTTCCAAATCTAATGGTTTATCAGTATATTTACCCTACTACCTATGAATATTTAGTAATAATAATTAATAATGTTTCTGCAAGTGGCAAACATTTGTGAAATATTAAATCCAGCGTCAATGATGTTAAATGTTAATAAATATGAGCAATTAGATTTTTATTGGTTATGGAATACACTATACAGTAGCATAGAATACCTTACGCCTCAATTATATTTTGTGGTGTGTTTCCTAATGTCAAAATGGGGAATACTAAGCAGTGGGTGCAAGGATTCAAACCGCCTTAGTATTAATGAATGCGGAGTAGTGAAGAACACACTGTTGTTCTCAGAAATGTGGCATAATAGCATAATCTGACATTTTTCAAACATGCTGGTAGTTTCTACTACTTTTTATTTATGATTGCTAAACAAGCATCTTTCTAGGTTGCCTATCCATACGTGGCAAAGCGCCTCTTGACAGATCCTAATCCCGCATTACGTGAACGGCTTATTCAGGTTAGTTAACATCCTGTGGCCATACTTGTTACATTTTCTAGTTTCCCAACAATGTACATGTTTCTAGTATTTGTAGTCATTACAAATTGTTGGAACCACCTCAAGCAAATATTTTAAATGTGATGACATGAGCAAGCTATGGTCTCCTCCGATATCCTATATTCAAAATGCCTTTTGACCAGCATTTCTTGCTGTCTCATATCCAAATAAAGGAGAAAAAGAACAAAGATATTTTTTGACATTTTATCTTTGCTACAGTTGTAGTGTGTATGCTATTAATAAACATCAATCTGCAGCTTAGGCATATGGAGTTTTAGTTGCTTTCATAGGTTCTTTTTTGGTGATTCAGAATGCCATTTATATATATTGACTGGTTCTTAGTCCCCTAATTTTTTCAATTTTCCTTGTCTAGTTCTCTAAGCTGAAATGAAACTGGTATTGTGGGGGATAAATAAAAAGCAATGCCATTGTAATAAACATTTAATAGAAAAAATGAAAACTACCCATTTTTAGTCTGGCATGACTGCATAAAATGTTGCCTCCAAAATTGATAAACAGTTATTAGAAAAAATGAAAGCCTTCGGCTAATACGGTGCTATGAAGTTTTATGAGTTTCTAAACTTTTGATGAAGAGGCTTTCTTAACGAGTTCAGTTCTAACTTGATTTCTTGGTTGTCTCGTCATTTTGGCCAAAATGATCCACTATTTTATTTACTCATTTTCCATGTCAATCGTTAGGAAAATGTTTGTGTTCCAATTGGTTGGCAATCCATTCACAGTTCTTACTATTGTCCCTTGTTTGTATTGTCAGGTTCTGTTTAAAGACGGTGTTTTCCAGTGGAAACGACTTGAGAATCTAATTACTCTAGCAAAAGAAAATGTCGCGAAAATGAGCAGCAACCCTGCATTGAAAGGAAATAACACGTCTGTATCTTTTCATTTCCTAGTTGCTTGATTTGTTTATTTTTTTCCCAAGCAGTAAAAATCTTTCTTCTACAAGACCTGATTATCTCCCCTTGCAATCTTATGTCCCTTGTGCTCTGTTTGATATTCAGGCGGCAAAGGTCTAGAGAGTTACAAGTCGTAAAGAAATTGGACCTCACAGACACAATCAAGGATGGGGCCCGGCTTTTCCTAATAGATGAAGGAATTCGTAGGAAGCTTCTTCTTGCTTTGACGGAGGATTCCAAACTTCATGTTCAAGAGGTACGTGATGACCAAAAAGAGTTTAGTTTTATCAGACTGCTGAAATGTAACAAAGCCTATGTATATAGCTTGTAGATGTGTATAGACTGCTCGAGGACCAAATAGATGTGCCTTCAGTAGCTTTGCAAGTAGCACAGGGTAAATCTTCTTTTGACATCAGTCAATGATTGTGCATTATGAACTATTAACTTATTTAATTTCACACGTGGAATATCTATTCTTACAGAGTTACCATCTGTTGCTCGGGATGCAATTCTCTCCTGGAGTGCCTCTGTCTTATCAGATAGATAAATTTAATTCTGGTGAAATTAACAACGTTTGACTTCTCCCAGTTTCTATCTTATGAAGGCTTCTCTGTCCATATGTGATTTAAGCATGTACGTGTTGTAAATGTCTTTTGCTAAAGTTGACAGTAATGGCATTACTTCAGTATAGAATCTAATACTACATGAAAATTACATAAATGAAGAGATGATGAATCTATAGTTTGAATTATCCCGGCATAATCTACATTGAGTTAGTTTCAATATAGTGAAATGCATCTAAGTGGGGGTGTAAAACAGTCCTCTTTTCCTTTGAATAAGCATTAATCAATGAAACTTTTTAATGTCTTCATTGTACTCCTCTTTGCGGAACTAATTGGGTGGCCTTACTATAGGGAGCATCTAATGAACCAGTAAGGCATACTCCGTGTAATTTCTAAGATTTTGCTAATGAAGGGCTGTTGAAAATGCTTCTTAATTGTTTTACTTTCTTAGTTTATTGTGCAATATTTGCTTTGATTTTGACTAGAAGTTTATTCCCATGATCAAAGAAATTGTTAGGAGTTTCTAACTTGGATTAGTTACCAAATGCTCCAAAGTGTCACTTGGTTATCTAAGGTATCGGTTTGTGCTGGCATGGTTCACTGAGTATTGGTACCAACTGGCCAAGCAAAGTTGATCAATCACATATTGAGGGGAGAAATGCTACTTATTTATTCTTGTTTGCTACTTGGTTTACATAATGTACAAGTGGCAAGATTTTATACCATGTTGGACACAAAAAAAAAAAATGTTAAATCGACCTATGAAATCTTGCCGCTTGTACATAATGTAAACCAAGTGGTAAATAAGAATATACAAGTAGCATTTCTCTATCGAGGAAGGAAAAGAAGATAATTATTCATGTTGTTTCATACTATCCCATACTATGTATTAAACATGCTATGATGCTTATTGTTTAGTTCTATGTCAAATCCATTAAAGCATCCTCAATCATGGTGTAACATAGATCTAAATTATGATTTAGATTTTCAAAGTGATCAGATACCTCTCAAATGGAGAGATAAAGCAAATGTAAATTGCATTTTTCGGCATGAAATGGAAAAAAAGTCCACAAGAGGCAAAAAAATGGATCTGAATCTTCTCATTGGAGTAAAATTTGAATTTAGATCTACGGGCGATGAAAATGATGATGTAAAAGTGGTTTTGGAGATATCTTACACCACCATTGAATATGCTCTTGCATGATTTCCTCATGGCACCATGGTTTGCCTGCCCTTATATTGATAATTTGTTTGGTTTTCATTATTTTCAAAATACATTTTTTATCTTTTACTTTTAACCACACATTCTTGTTAACCATTCTGGTTGGTTCATCTATTCACTCCTAATATTGGTGTGAACCTTCGACAGTGGAAATTTTCTATTGCTAATATAAGTTCCTTTTCAATTTTGTAAATTACAATGAACTTTAATTAATTTAGTTTCTTGTTTTCAGTAATTAAAAATATGGAAAATTTACTTTTGATAATACTGTAGTAAGAATTAAGGGTATGTTTGATAAGTGAGTTTTTCTAGGGAAAATGGAAACCATTTTCCATTTCCCACTTTTTTTAGTGTTTGATTGTGTTTTTTTT